TCAGCTGCCATGTGGGTGCTGGAATTCAAACCCGGGTCTTCTGCAAGAACAACCAGTGTTCTTAACTGCTGAGCCATCTCTCCAGCCCCAAACCACTGGTTTTATAGAGTAAGCCATCAATAAGAATACAATTATTTGTATTTATCTTTAAGCCAAAATAAAAGCAAATAAAGAATAAAGGGAATTAAGTGTACCTGAAATTTGAAATATCTTTGTACTTATGTAGATCTATGCATCTTTAAAAAGTGATGTTCCCATTCCGTGGGTTTCCTCTTCACTTTTTTGGTGGTGGTTTCTTTTGTTGTACAGAAGGTTTGTAGCTTAATGGCGTTCCACTTATTGATTGTTAACGTTAATGCCTGAGCAACCGATGTCTGATTTAGAAAGTCCTTTTCTATGCCTATATTTTTATGATATATTTTAAAAAAATATTTATTTAATAACCACATAATTGGAAGAAGCATTTCATTACAACAGCATGGACATTCAATAAAATTTCCAGAGCTAAGATGCATCTCTTTCAAAATGGGCTGTAAATTTTTAGGCTTACAGTTGAATTAAGACAGTTATACAATATTTGTACTCAGTGTAAACCCTATAAGACATAAAATTGAATGAGGTTTTAAACTTTAAAGAAGTTCTCCATTTCATTATTAAAATACAAAAAGTTTAATAGAGAAAAAATTCATTTTTAATGCAATTAATGCTTAGATGTTTATACATGTGTTTCTCATCTCTATATATCTGATTGTTACTAGTCACAGTCGGTTACTTTCTGAGCTCCTTGGCACCTGAGCGTGGATATAAAGTCATCAGGTAGATTTCAATGGTGATGTTTTTTACATCTACTAATTAATAAGGAGCAAATTTTTATGCTTTGAAGAATTATTATTTTTTTAATTTTTAAAAAATATTTAAAGTTTAGTAACCACATGATTAGAAGAAGCATTTCATTACAGCTTTAACATATTCAGTAACACACTCCAGAGCAAGGATACATCTCTTTCAAAAGTGGCTGTAATTTTTAGGTTCACAATTGAATTAATACAGTTATATAATATTGAATTCAGTATAAACCCCATAAGACATAACATTGAATGAGTTTTTACCTGTTAAAGAAGATCTCCATTTCATTTTAAAATATGCTGTTTCCTATATTTTTAATGCTACTAACACTTAGATGTTTTCACATGTGTCTTTAAGCTCTATGTATCTGATTGTTACTAGTCATAGTCGGTTACACTCAGGTCCTTACTACCTGAGTATGGATATAAAATCATCAGGTAGATTTCACTGGTAATGTTTATCACCACTACTATTTAACATGAAGTAAACTTTAATGCTTCTTCCTCAAATATGTCTCTTTAAAAAAAAAAAAACTTATAGTTTTTTTTGTGTGTATATCATACAGAACATACCACACAATCTTATTCATCTATATACCCACTTCCCAAATGGCACCCTCTGATAGCCTTCCCCCTCCCACACACTGGAGCCCATATACTCTGTCATCCCTGCTACTGTCCACTGTGTTGTCAGCACCTCCAGCCATTCCTCAGTGCTTGTCCATCTGTTTCATTTTAAAATATACTGTGTCTTACAGAAAGACTCATTGCTTTTGCTAATAGCACTGAGATGTTGGCGCATGCATCTCTAATCTGTGTGTGTCTGATTATTACTAGTCATAATTGGTTGCACTCGGACTGTTGGCACCTATGTATGTCTTTAAAGTCATCAGGTAAATTTCAATGGTAATGTTCATCACCTCTACTAATTAACATGATGTAACTTTTTTTTCTTCCTCCTCAAATATAACTCATTTTTTAAAGTTTGTTGATTTTTTTGTGTGTATATCACACAGAACATCCCAAACTATCTTATTCAACTATACACCCACTTCCCAGATGGCACCCTCCCATAGCCTCACTAGAGATCTTATACTCTGTTATCCCTGCTACTGTCCGCTGTACTGTCGGCACCCCCCAGCTGTTCCCCACAACTTGTCCATCTGGTGAATCTAGTCAGCCTATCTAGAGGTCTTTGTTTTAGGAAGGTCAGCTGTTCCTCATCAAGCAGCAATCGACTGTCAATATTTCTTTAGGTAAGATTGGGGTCTGCTGTTCATTTTCCCAGTTTTATGGTAATAGTCTCTGACTGGAACAAAATAAATATCTTTGATGAGTGGTGACTGGGATATTTGTCTGTAGATATAAGAGTACATATCGTGAACATAGTAAGAAATCACATTAGACTAGGGATGTGACAGTCTTGGGGTTTTTGCTAAGACATATGAAGACTCCAGTCATGTGTATTTGGTTATGTTTACCACACTTGAGTTTCCTTCCACTTAGCAGCTTTTAGTCCAATTACGTAGCTGTTGATGACTCCCAAGATAAAATTGCCACTACTGCACCAATGTCATATGCTGTGCTGGCCATTATGTGGTTATTTGGTCTTGAAGCTGATTTTGGACCATTGATTGTTGTTTTCCCTTAGCACCTTCATAGCGCTCTCCAAAGCTATGAGACATAGTCTTCAGGGGAAGTTGTTTCAGGTCACTTACAGCTCTATTGCTCCAAATCCTGTGTCCAAAGGATGTTTTGTCTTCAGCAGCAGTAAGATCTTATCTTCATGTTCTGGGAAGCCATTAAGGGCCGTGGCAAAAGCCTGAGTAATTTTGGGAGCCTTTGGACCACCCTGGCCAACAACTCAAAAGAAGGTTTCTCCTGTCTAACACTGTTTTTTGTTATGTAGCCTTTAGCTATACATATGGACTCATGTAGAGATAATATATGTATAATTTGTCAGTAGGCCGTTGGACTAATATGGTTCCCTCTGGTTTTTAAAACTAGCTAGGCATTATTTATCTCTCCCATTGTCTAACCCCTCCATCATGGTTTCCCCAATTAAGGTGCCCCCACTTCCCCCTTTCTCCCTTAATAATACCCTCTATGCCTATATCTTATAAAGTGCTGCCCAAGTTTTCTAGTAGCAGTTTTAGAGTTTCTGGTTTTATATTGAGATCTTGGATGCATTTGGAATTGAATTCTGTGCAGGGTGAAAGATAAAGGCTCAATTTCACTCTATGAGTGGAAGTCCAGTTTTGCCAGCACCATTTGTTGAAGATTCTATCTTTCCTGCATTGTGTGTTCTTAGCACCTTTGTCAAATATCAGGTGGCTGCAATGATAAGAACTCACGTTTGGGTCTTCTATTGTGTTCCATTGATCTGCGTGTTTATTTTTGTGCCAGTGCCATACTGCTCTTTATGACTATAGCTCTATAATATAGTCTGAGATCTTGTATGGTGATCCCCCCAGCATTGTTCTTTTTGCCTTAAGATTGTTTCAGCTATCAGAGGTCTTTGTGATTCTGTACGCATTTTAGGATGATTTTCTCTAGTTCTGTGAAGAATGCCATGTGAATTTTGATTGGAATTTCATTGAATCTATAAATCGCTTTTGGTAAGATCATTTTCACAAAATTAATTCTACTAATCCATGAGCAGCGTAGGTCTTTCCATCTCCTAGTGTTTTACTCTATCTCTTTAAATTAAAAAGTTTTGTTGTAGAGATATTTAATGTCTCTTGTTATATTTATTCCTAAATATTTTATTTTTTTTTAGGTTATTGTAAATGGCAGGGTCTCCTTGAATGCTTTTTTTCTGATTACTTGTTTGTTACTGTTTTTTAGAAAGGTTACTGAGTTTTGTATGTTGGCTTTTTTCACCTATCACTTTACTGAAAGTATTAATCATTTCTCACAACTTTCTGGTGGAATTTTTAGGATCTCTTATGTATAATACATATAATATCATATTGTCTGAAAATAGTGATAATTTGACCTCTTCTTTTCCAATTAGTACTCCTTTAATTTCCTTCTCTTGTCTTATTGCTCTAGCGAGTTTCAAGCACTGTGTTGAAAAGGAGTGGAGATAGTGGACATCCTTGTCTGGTGCCTGATTTCAATGGGAATGCTTCCAGTTTTTCTCCATTTAGAATGTGTTGGCTGTGGATTTTTTGTATATAGCTTTAATTATGTTGAGGTATGTTCCCTCCAGTCCAATTCCTTCTAGGTCTTTTAACATGAATGCATGTTGGATTTTGTCCAAGGCCTTTTCTACATCTGTTAATATGAACATGTGATTTTTGTCTTTAGGTTCATTTATATGTTTTATTGCATTTATTGACTTAACGTATGTTGAATCATCCCTTCATCTTGGGAACAAAGCTGACTTGATTGTGGTGGATGATCTTTTAGATGTGTGTCTGTATGTGGTTTGTGAGCATTTTGTTGAGTATCTTTCTGTCTATGTTCATTAAGGGTATGGGCCTATTTTCTTTTTTGGTTTGATCCTTATTGTAGTGTTGGTGTTAGTGTGATGCTGGCTTCATAGAAGACATTTGGGAGTTCTTCCCCCATTTCTATCTTTTTGAATAATTTAAGCAGTATTGGTTTTAGATCTTTGAATGTCTTAGAATTCTACTAGTGAATCCATCTGGGCCTGGGCTTTTATTTTAATCAGGAGGTTTTGTATTACTGTTTCAATTTTTTTATTTGTTATGGGTCTGTTTAAGCTGTTGATCTCTCCCTGGTCTAACTCTGGTGGTGTCTATCACTTTAGAAATTCATCTATTTCTTTTAGATTTTCAAATTTAGTGGAGTATAGATTTAAAATTTTTTTTATTATTTTTATTTTATGTGTTTATGTATACTTTGTGCATATAGGTAAGTACACCTGTGTCGTGCAATGCCTGCGGAGGTTAGAAGAGGCTGTTGGATCCCCTGGGACTGGAGTTACAGACAGTTGTTAGATGCCATGTGGGTGCTGGGATTCAAACCTGGGTCTTCTGCAAGAACAATTAGTGTTCTTAACCACTGAGCCATCTCTCCAGCCCCAGAGTATAGGTTTTTAAAGTATTTCCTTACAATGCTCTGGATTGTTTTTTTTAATTTGGTGTCTGTTGTGATGTTCCCTCTTTCATCTGTTTGTTTATATAGGTATAATGAAAATCTTGAGTATATGGGAGCAACTTTTCCTGGAAAAATGTGTGTCACCAGCCATTCTGCAGGAATCGCAGTGGTATGTAGTTATTTAACCTTTAAAGAAACATTATCCATTCAAGACTTATCCAGCAGGACAGTATGGACTTTATGTAGTTTTGCACTTAGAAATTAAAATTTTTCTCATTAATATTGAGAATTTGAAGTACATGAATGCCTTTTTTTTTTTTTTTGTCTTTTTGAGACAAGGTCTCCCTGTAGCCCCAGCTGTCCTGGAACTCACTATGTAGACCAGGCTGGCCTTGAACTCACAGAGATCCACCTGCCTCTGCCTCCAGAGTGCTGGGATTGAATGCCTTTTAAAGCTAGAATCTTGTTGCAGTAAGGTGTGTGAAAGTTAAAATGTGACTGTCATAAATACAAACACAGTTCTCAGTAAATAGAGTGGTGAATACTGAACAATTATCTATAAGGAAATTTCTGTAATTCAAACAGACTTTAAAATTGAGAAATACTGTTATAAATAAAATGGATACAAAACAAAAAATAGGAAGTCCTTTAAAATATATCAGCTTCTTATATATTTAAAAAGAAACTATTATGTGTACTTTGAATATTTATATTATTTACAAACATGTTATAATAAAGATCACTAGTTAAATGAAGTGCATTATTGAAGGTCATGAAGCTCTTTGAGACAGTTTTCCACCTAAGACTTTTGTTCTTGAGACAGGGTCTCCCTGTAGCCCCAGCTGTCCTGGAACTCACTATGTAGACCAGGCTGGTCTTGAACTCACAGAGATCCACCGGCCTCTGCCTCCCAGTGCTGGGACTAAAGGTGTGTGCCACCATGCCTGCCTTCTAGTGTTGCTTTTAAGAATTTGAGAAGTTGTTAAATTGTTTTGTTAAACAAATAGGGAAAATTCTGTTGGTAAAGTTCTTCCCTCGAAAACATGAGGAGTTGAGTTTGATTCCCAGAACTCTTGTTTTTAATAAATCGACAGCACATCAGTATACTCTGTGATCCCAGTGCTAGGGAGGCAGAACTATGTGGTTCTGTAGGGCTCACTAGCCAGCCAGCCTAGTCTACGTGGAGAGTTTCAGGCCAATGAAATAGATAGGAGAGTTATGCCTGAGGAATGACACCTGAGGCTGTCCTTTGGCCTTCACACATACATATGTGCACGCGCGCGCACGCACACACACACAGACACACACACACAGACACACACACACACACACAGACACACATACACACACACACACAGACACACACACACAGACACACAGACACACACACACACACAGACACACACACACACACACACACAGACACACACACACAGACACACAGACACACACACACACACAGACACACATACACACACACACACAGACACACACACACAGACACACAGACACACACACACACACAGACACACATACACACACACTTACCCCTATTTTGACTTACCATCTCTAGGCAGTATTGTCAATATAATTTCTGATACATTTAGCCTTTTTAATTTATCATATTATATTTTTAATTAAAATATTTTGTTTGTGAGGATTGATCCCATGCCGCACCATGCTAGGAATGTGTTGTACCACTGAGCTACACTGCAGCACCAGTATTTTAAAAATTATTTTAAGAAGTATATATAATATTCTTGGTTATGCTCATCAATTGGTTACTATGAAAAGAGGTAGAACTGTAATTGGGCACTTCTGTCCATTGTCAAGATTTATAAAATTTATGATTTATTCTTTATGACTGATATTTTGTCTGCTAAGATTAAGAATTGAACACAGAAGCGTTACTTTTTCCAGTAAAGCATTGATGCCCAGGCTCTCAGGAAGGCATTTTTCACTTCAGAATTTAATGGAGCCCTTTAATTTTTTTCAATATATATTTTTATCAAATTTTTCTGAATTTCGTAAAAATACATCTTAATCAGATTTAGCCCCTTCCCCTATGTGCATGACCCCATAGCCCATCCACCAGATTTCATGCATTCTGTCATATCTGTTAAAGCCTATCAAGTCTAATATGTATATCCAGATGCTCCTTGGTGTGAGCTCATCCACTGGAGCCTGTTCAGGCTATCTAGCATCACTCCCTTAAAGAAGACCAACTCTCCTTCACCCAGCAGTGATCAGTTTCCAATAGATCATCAGTTAGGGTTGTAGCCTTTGCCCTAGGTCTATACTGGGTTTTTGACTGATTGAGTTTGTGTGGGTATTGTGCATGCTATCACCAGTGCTGTGCATTCATATGAGCAAGTTCCCGGAAGCTTAGAAGACAGTTTCCTGTGGTCAAGCACCACTCCTGATTCTTACAATCTTTCTATCCCTAGTGGTCCCTGAGCCCTGGATGGGTGAAGTTTAATATGGGAGTCTTATGTAGGGAAACACACTCTGAACTCTCTTATTTTCACACTTTGGTCAGTTGTGGCCTTCTGTTAATCAACCAGTGTTGCTGAGGAAATTTCACTGGTGAGAGTTGAGGGCTGCTTTAGTATTGTCTCTAGCCCCTGCTCCACTATATTTATTCTGTTAGCCTTAGGTGTAGAGGTTGCATTGTAGAGGTGTCACTTAGGACTAGGCATATTGCAGACATATTTTCTCTGTGTGACACCAGTTGTGGAACTCTGCAATTGTCTCCATCTGTTGCACTAAGAAGCTTCTTTGATGAGTGGTGACAGGTGTACTTGTTTGTAAATAAAAGGATCCATATTTAGCATACAGCAAGAATTATGTTTGTCTAGGGATGTGACAGACATAAGGTTTTCTCTAGGATCCATGGCCTTTCCAGCTGTGTTCGTTCCAGCTCCATTGCTCCATGTCTTTGGCATTTGTCCTGTCTTCAGTAATGTGTCTCACCTTCAAGTTCTAAGAAGTAATCAAGGGCTATGGTTGTGTTATTTCGTGTTGCCTAGGGAGTCTCTTGAACTACCCTGACCCTGACTGGAAGAGACGTTTCTCCTGTCTGGCACTGTTTCTCGTTATGTGCCTTCGGCTATACACATGCACTCATGTCCGAATAGTGTATGTGTGGTTTTCAGCAGGGTTTTAAACCCTCTGGTTTTTCCTACAAACTAAGCATTATTTCTCCTCTCTCTCTCCTTATCTAACCCTCCCTTTTCCCTCCCCACTTAAAATACCCCTATTTTCCCCATTTCCCCCTTGATAATACCTGTCTCCTATTAACTCCCCTCTCTTGACCCCCATGGTTCCTGGTATAACTCTCCCTCCCCCTCCCATTGAAATACCCCCCATTTCCCCCATTTCCCCCTTGGTAACACTTGTCTCTTCCATCCCCTTCTCTTGGGCTCCTTTTTCTTTACCTCCATGATTTCTTTCCATTTCCAGGCTCCTGAGGTTATAGCAGGATATATACTCATATATGAGAATCAGGCTAAGATCCACAAAGGAGGGAGGCTATATGCCGTTTGTTTTTCTGAGTCTGTAACTTCACTTAGGATAACAGATTCCAGTTCCATCCATTCACTTGCAGATTTCATGATTTCACCTGTCCTTACTGCTGACTAGAACTCCACTGTGTAAATAACGTATCGCATTTCCATTATCCATTGGTCAGTTGAGGGACATTTGTGTTGTTCATTTCTGAGCTATTGTGAAAGGAGCAACAGCAGATATGGATGCACAGGTATCTCTGCAGTAGGATGAGTCCTTTGGGTGTGTGCTAAGGACCAGATGGTAGATTTAGTTCTGGTTTTTTAAAGTTCTCCACGCTGCTTTCCATAGTGGTTGTGCCAGTTTGCAATCCTTCCAGCAGTGAATGAGCGTTCCCCTTTCTCCACATCCTCTCCAACATATGGTATCATTTGTTCTCTTGATCTTAGTCACTGTGACTGGGGAAAGCTGAAATCTTTGATTTTGATTTGCATTTCCATAATTACTAAGCATGATGAACACTTTTATTTTCTTAGCCGTTTCTATTTCTTCCTTTGAGAACTCTGTTCAGATCCATAGTCCATTTTTTAATTGGGTCATTTGTTTTTTTTTTTTTGATTCTTTGTTTTTTGAGTTCTTTGTATGTTCTGGATCTTAATTCTCTGTCAGATGTGTAGATGGTGAAGATTTTCTCCCACTTTGTGGGTTTTCTCCTCATTTCTTTGGTTATTTCCTTTGCTGTACAGAAAGAAGCTTGTTGACCTTAATTCCTAAGCAACTGATGTCTGATTTAGAAAGGCCTTTCCTACACCTATATCTTACAGGGTGCTGCCTATATTTTCTTCTAGCAGTTTCAGAGTGCCAGGTTTCACATTGAGGTCTTTGATCCATTTGGAGTTGACTTCTGTGCAGGGCAATAGATAAGGGTCTAATCTCATTCTTCTACAGGTGGAGGTCCAGTTTTGCCAGCACCATTTGTTGAAGATACTGGCTTTCCTCCAGTGTGTGTTTGGCACGTTTGTCAAATATCAGGTGGCTGAAATTGCGTGTACTCAGGTTTGGGTCTTCAATGATGTTCCATTGATCTGCATGTCTATACTTGTGTCAGTACCACACTATTTTTATGACTATAGCTCTGTAGTACACTTTGAGATCTGGTATAGTAATTCTCACAGTGTTGCTCTTTGTGCTCAGGGTTGCTTTGGCTATCCAAGCAACCCATATGAATGCTTCCATATGAATTTAAGGATTTTTTTTCCATTTCTATGAAGTACGTCATGGGTATTTTGATTGGGATTACATTGAATCTATATATTGCTTTTGGTAGAATGGATGGCTTTTGGAAGTATGGTGATTTTCATAATATTAATTCTTCTAATCCATGAGCATGGGAGGTCCTTCCATCTCCTGGTGTCTTCCTCAATTTCTTTCTCCAAAGATTTAAGATTTTCATTGTAGAGCTCTTTGTCTAGGTTTATTCATAGATATTTTTCTCATTTTTATTGAGTTTTTGTATATTATATATAATAGATCTTAATCAAATGCAGATCCTGTCCTCCATAGCCCCCCCAACTAGGTCTCAGGTATTCTGTCATATATGTTAACATATTATTATATTATGCTAATATTCTATCCAGTCGAGCATTTCTACCCAGATGTCTA